TGTTATATATTTAACTATTCCGATCTTTTTAGATTTTAGTAACACCTGATGTTTGTACTCTCATCAGATGTCTCAAAAGTGAAGTCAAGTCAACCTGGAGTTGAGGTTATATTTCTAACAAAATGTAGATTTCTTTCTGTTAGCCTGTCACACTGTATTGTTTGACAGGCTAACAGAAGTGTTGTGGTTTTCAGGTTTTTATAAGCCTCACTTCAGCATGTTTGCCTGGCATTCTTCAGCGGTACAGAGTCAACGTTCAAATACCTTCACGCAGTGGACATATTTGGAATGCGATTCTGCCGCAGGAGCTGGGAGCTTGAGCCGCACGCACTGCCATGCTTTCAAAAGGCAAAACCAGCCAGAATCAGTGCAGTGACTGCGTGTTGCTGTTCCTTTCCTGAGAACTGGTTACCGACATAGGGACTCTCACAGAATAGACATACAGTTTAGATACGGCAAAGAGCCTTGAATGCTACGTCAGCTGTGCCTCTGGCTCCAGGCCCTGGGCAGCGCCAGCATAATGCTCAGCCCTGTGTGTCACTGGGTCTCCTTCTCCTGGAGACCTTCCCTTGCCCGAGGGCTTTCTCGTGGTGAGATACAGGTGCACGAACATCAACCTTGTGACTGTATCATATTTTTCATATGTCTTCATCGTATTTTATACATTTTTTAAAAGGCTGATAAAAATACTGTTGGTCTAGCATTGAGGGAGAGGGTAAGAGGAGAGAGAAGAGGCAAAAATAACATCTGTAACTGTTTCCAAAAGCAATAGGACTACAGTGAGTAGGAGTCCCATTAAGAAAGTTATCCTATTGTTTGAATTAAAATATTCTAGTTGAAGTGCGTCAGCAATGTAGACAGAAGCCAAATACTGTATGATCAGTTCCTTTACCTCTCCGAGGAAGTGGACGGGAATCCACGTGCCTGACTTTTTCCTTTTCAGAAAGAAACAGTAGAAAATTGGTTCCCTTACTCCTTCATGTATCTATAAGAACAAGGCCCAAGACTAGCCATTGTGAAGAATAAAAATTACCTGTGGCTGGGTTATTGGCATCCAGATGCTTACATCTAGGAGGACACATAAGCGAAAAGATACCATGTAGGACAGTATTTGGGAAGGACTGTATGTGGTGGTACAGACTGCCATAGAGCAGCGGCCGCCAACCTTTCGGACCTCACGGACCGCTGGGTTCGCGAACCACCTGTTGGTGACCGCTGCTGAGGGAATGCTATGTGTGGGCCTTTTGGAAGGGAGAGGTCAGGGTAAGCAAATTGGATTGACTTTTCAGCCAGGACTTGAAGAATTGGTAGGTGTCTTGTAAGAATAATTATAAGACATTCATGCCGTGGAAAGACCATAAGAGTCAGTATTAAAAAGTAGTTTACAGCCCTGGCCGGGTTGGTTCAGTGGATCGAGTGTCGGCCTGCGGACTGAAGGGTCCCAGGTTCAATTCCAGTCAAGGCCATATGCCCGGGTTGCAGGCTCAATCCCCAGTGTGGGGCGGGCAGGAGGCAGCCGATCAATGATTCCCTCTCATCATTGATGTTTCTATCTCTCTCTCCCTCTCCCTTTCTCTCTGAAATCAATAAAAATATTTTTTTTAAAAAGTAGTTTACAAAGTTACCTTTTGAGAATTAAACTAATTGTCATTACAAACTAATAGGCAACATGTCTTGAGGCCCAAAGGAAGGAACACCTACGCTACTGGTAATAGTTACTTAAATAGCATATCAGGGTGTCCCCCCAAAAATGTATACACACTTTGAATAATTATAAAGGCAGTGTTTATTGAAATACATTTCATTGTCAAAATGTAATAGAATCTACAGACATAGTGTGTTTGCATTTTAGGGGGACACCTGTATATAGCTTTAAATGGTTCTCAATGGGAGAAGGCAGACCATGT